ACCGACTGTCGAGCAGCGGGAAACTCGATCGGCTCCTGTCAAAGGACAGCAAAAGTCGTCCGTTCTGCAGCAGTGGAGTGGGCTACTACTGAAGACATCGACAGCCCGGGAACAACCAAGAGAGTGTATCTGCCGTTGCGTAGATACACCATCCTGAATGCTTAGGCGATATGGAGGCCTCCGTCGTTAAAAAGAATGCCGGGTTTCTCTCGCTTACTGGGGCATATGATGGATGTGGCAGTACAAGCAGACTCTCCTACTCCTTATCAGCTGGGGCACTCAAGACAGCTACCTTATCTGAAAGCTTAGAGAAGACTTACTCTATGCGAACTTGATCACAAGAAGATCGGGAGAGGGTATCATGCCATAATACCCCAGACCCCAGGACTCAAGTTGCCTTGAAACAGTTTCACTGCCACGGTTGATATGTACCGTCTATAAAACAGCTCAACTAGAGTCACTTGGCTACTTTTCTGTCAATAAGTTGCCACGGCAGTAAACTGGAGGCTCTCCATCATGATCATGCGGCCCTGATAACTACTTAGTTATCGGTTCGCAAGGGTGTACTCCGGGAATGTTTACTCTGCAAACCTCGAATCCTGCTAATCAAGGCTACTAACATGAGGGAGTAGAGAGATATAGGAAACGGAATCGCCAATACTCAGGGATAGACGAGCTGATTCCGTCGAAACTCCGACGGTGAAGTTGAAGTCGAGCGTCGACAAGCATCTACGGATACACTGCATGATGGCGGGGTAACTAGTTAGCTGTCAGTTTATATAAACGTCGTTCTATCTCTATCTCCAGGCCTTATTATTCGAACTTCAATTTCAACTTCAGCCTTGTAGATATAAGTATTCCATCCACAGTGACCAAATAACCATCGCACGGCTCCTCCAATATGGCAGACTTTCCCACCTTGAAGCCGGCATTCACCATGCAGGTAGTTATAACTGCCCTTCCCAGCGCTACAGATACATCTGACCACCGCATGCATCCACCATTATATAGGTCTTGATTGACCCTCCAGTGAACGTCGGTATGCATCAGAAGCTTAAGCCCGTCCGTCTGTATGGATGCTGAAGCCAGCATGGAGTGCTAACATCACCAACAATAGGAAGCACCGCGAAGAACTGCAACTTCGTAGTCACGGTGCGTCTCATGGCTTGCTCAAACTTTGGCCTGGCTGCAGGTGAAATGTTTGCGTAGCTGAAGCTGTCTGTCTCTAGCCCATGGTCGGCGGCACCGTCAAGAGCGAGCCTGGTTTCTTGCCTGCTTTCAACGGCCAACTTGCTAGCAATGGCAATGATTATATCCGTACCGACCCAGACGGTAAACGTCTACGGCTGGATGCCCATACTGTAGTCAAGTATGTCTATTCGTCCAACTTCTGAGGCGCACCAAGCTGATTGAATGTTTAAAGAACAGATACGGGAGCTGTAGGTGTTCTCGATGACCAGCTAACTAGCAGCGCCATGGCTTACTTGGTGGTAGTCTGTGTATATCAATTATACTGGAGTCGTTGACTTGACTCCCGAGATCAATGCCATTCTCACTGGCCGGGAAGAGGCAGCAAGCACCCAGTTTGGGAATATATGTATGATCCATCCACTTCCCTTGGAAAAATAAATCAATGGCGGAAACTCGCTAACAGATCCCCCTTTCAAGTCACTACCCTTAAGTTCGAGGTTAGTTGATCCCCTTTCCCCGGCTGCAGCTCAGTCACAGGCACAATTTGCTTACAGGTAAACCGTAACCTGTCTCAGAGCGGAGACGCCGATCATGCGGCCCTCGAGAACGGCATCTTCGTTGCCTCTGGTCGATTCATCTACGAGAAAGGTCAGAAGCCAATTGTAGACTATAAGGTCAGCCAGGTTTGTAAAGGTTGAGATTGGTAGACATGACAGTCCCCTCCCGAGTCTGTCGGAGGGCAAGCATGAGACAACAACCATTCAATTGCCTTATTCATTAATCGGAAGAGCATACATGTCCAAAGCCAAACCTGTATATAGTTTTGTATTCAACCGAAACCTCCAAGTCGTCCCAAATTTTTAGTCATAGCAAAGGCGAGCGCTCATTTTGCTCCTGCTCCTCGTCTTCCTCTGGTATAGTTTCTGGCGCTCTGTGCTCCTGTCCTTGTCCCATCCAGTTCGAAATACCGCCTACAAGGCCACGAAGCGCTCCCCCTATGCCTTCTCCGCCTCCCTCTTCCCCAAACTGGGTGCCCCCATACCCTCCACTGGCCCCGTAGCTATCGCCTCCAGGCTGCTCGTCTCCTCCCTCCTGCTGCTGCTGTTCCTCGTCGTCCTTCTTCGCCATCCACATCTGGTAAGCAAGGTATGCAACAACCACCAGAAGCAGTGTACCTATCACCGAGACAATGCAGGTGAGGAACGTAGCGGAGCTAACCGCACATCCGAATGGACGGGTACGTATCTCCCACCTCTCTTTAGTGCCGAGTGGGCATATCGAGCTGTTTGTCAGGGGAGCAAGGAGAGGGAAGGGAGAAGTATTCGGCACGCAGGTAGACGACTATGCAAGCAAAGTCAGCTATGCGGAAGTATCAACCAGGAGAGGATACGTTAGGCCGTGAAACGCATCTCGAGCGCTGAATGAAGGGTATATATTCTGAGCAAGGCGTATATATATATATATCAGAAGAAAATCCTCCAGTACATACAAATGCGCACCAACTGCAAAAATCCGCAGCACGAAGACAGCTGCCGCAGTCCTGGTTCCGCCAGCAGAACGGTAGGAGGTCGCCCTGTTTGCGCTCTTCGTAGAACTGCTCGACGGCCATAGCGATGCCATTGGCGGCAGTCATGTCGGTTTTCATCTGTGTACTGAGCGTGATAAGGCTGCGACGCCTTCCTTGCTGCGCTACTTAGCTCTTAAACAGTGGCGAAATAGGTGCAATCGTCTGGTCGACGAGGCAGAAGATGAGGAGTTTGTTCCATGGCCTTTTTTGTCCTGTTTCTTTTCTTTTCTCTTGCAGGCTGGATGTTTACACAAGCTGAACAGCGATTCCATACTTGCATGCATGCATGCCAAGGGCCCTTTTTTCAAGCAAGGGAGTCAAGTTGGTTGGCTGCCTGGAGAAAATTCGTGCATAAAGGGCTTGATACCGGCCAGTAAAGCGCCGAATATGCTGCGCTGTCAGGCAGAAGAGGTTTTACCCTGGTGCTTCATGGTCGATCTGTAACTTTATATGACATGGACGGGTAGGGGGGATGCGATACTTAGATATATCAATATATTGAGACTTGACCTCTAGCAGACAGACATTCATTACTTGACCAGGATAGAGAGAAGAAAAGTGGTAGTGAAAAACGTAGATATCATCACGCAAGTAAACAATGCAAATAGGTTAAGGCTGGCTGGCTGTTTGATAAACAGAACAGCCCATAGATGAAGGTATATTAGAATACGTTGATGCGATCTCTTTTGGCAGCCGTCCAATCGGCCCGGCCAAAGGGATCTATCAACTATCCTGGCGTTCGTTTTTTATTCCACATAAAATAAACCCATTGCGTTGCTCATCTCATAGTACGCCGATAGAAAGACCGGATAGGAATTAAACGACTCTCTTAACCTGTACATATGAATGAATTAGCTCCGATATATCTAGGTATATACGGGGAAAGGGACAAGGTACCTCGAAGAACCGCTTGAGCCACCATACTTGGAAGATGCCGTTTGCAATCAGGACAGCAAGCTGGAAGAGACTCCACCATTTCACTCGCGAGTTTGTGCTCTCCGCGGTGTTACGGTGGGTACGTTCACGGACAATGATGTATGATTGCTCGTCCTTAACCTGGGCGAGCTCGTCGGAGAGTCTCATTACTGCACAGCAAAGGTCAGCCAACTATCCACATCTTCCGCGTGTAAGAAAAAGTTGAGTGCGTACCCTCGGCCTCTAGAGGGTCAGACGGGTGTTCACTGGCAGGCACGTAGACAGTTCCATGCACGTTGAATGTCACCTCCTTGCTGTTCGACGACCAGGCCTCGTTGCCAAAGCAGTAGACATACTTTCCATCCCGTTTGGCGGTAAACGTGAACTCGTCGGAGGAAATCGAATTCTTGCTGTGAATCTTGTGGCCGGCGGGATCCTCAACCTGCATTTCATCAACGAGTTAGCCTGCATGTCCACTGCTGCTGTATATCTAGATTTCTCCCATTTCTGCCCCTTCTGGCCAGTTTGTCTGTCCATTTGGCGACCAAGGTATCAACGCACCCAGAAATTAATGTCGAGGTTTCCGCTCCCGCCAAACTCGGTGTCTCCCGTCTGGAAAACCACGCTCATCTTATCGTCGACATGGAGGTTCTCGAAGAAACACTCCCTCGAATGCGCCTTGAGTGGAATGTTGTGTGCTGTCACGGCACCTATGCAGAGCAGGGCGGACACTGCGAGAGAGGAAAAGGCAAGCTTCATGGCGGCGCAGGGAGGTCGAACAAGGGACAATTAAGAGGAAGACACGGTGAGATACAGCCTGTTAGACGCCGTAACCTGTGCTATGCGGCCGTCGAGTCGGGGGTTGAGGATGTTTTCTTGCTTGTCTTCGTCGTCGTCCTTCGTCGTTCGTCCTTCTTTTTTGCGTGTCCAGAAGCGCACGGACCACATACGCAATTCTGGGCGCAGGAGAGAGATAGCAAGAGGCAGCAAAAGAGAGTAAAAGTGAATACTCCGTAGACGACGATGAGGTTGACAGGTGAATAGCAGCTAGATGGACAGATATAGGATGGCTGAAGCTATTTTACGGCATATACAGAGCTGGAAGTCTAGAATGTTTTTCGAGAGTGCTTCCGCTGGCCCAGAGTGACTGCCTGCTAGTTATTTAGATCGAGGAACTTCCCTTCACCCTCCTCGCTACATCAATAGCCGCTCAAACACCGTCGCTGCATACAATTTTACAGCATTAGACTGACATGGTACAAGACGAAGGAGAACAGCCTTGAACATGGCCCCCAAAGCGCGAAACGTACCGGGACAGGATATTAGGATGTCATTTGGCGATGTCTTCAAGAGCAGCAAGGCGCTCAAGGCAGAGAGAGAGCTGGTGGCCAGGAAGGCAAGTCGTTCAACCGCTGCATAGACGGGGAACATCAGCTAACAGGCAAGCAGAGAGCGCAGCTCAAGGCCGAGAGCAAGAGACTAGCCGAACTGAACGCAGCGATGGCACCATACACCAAGGTTCAGGAGGCAAAGAACAGCAGCGGTCAGGCAGCAGGGCCTCCAGGGCCTCCACCAGCCGTAGTCCCTCCTCCGCCTGCTAATCTACCACCAGGGACCATTCAGCAAAAGCCTGAGGCCGCTGTAGTCCCAGCTATTGTGGTCCGGGACTGGACAGACGAGGACAACGCCCAGTTGAAGGCGCTGAAGGAGGACAACATCAGCTGGCGGAAGATCGCGGAGACGATGAACTGGCCGGTCCACGAGCTTAAAGAACGATGGCGAGCCATCAAGCCTGAGCCGCCGAAGAAGCCGCAGCCAGAGCCAGGAAAGGTCAAACAAGACGGCGTTCAGGAGAAGAGAGTCGTGTTTACGGAGTCAGGCGATGAGAAAAAGGTATTTATGCGCCCCCCCCTTTTTTCCCCCTTTGAATCCGTCCACCCTTTAAATTATTCTTATCCACACGTCTCTGCAATGCCGTGGCCAGCTAACGACTTAGCAGGGCAAAGAAGCCCCAAAGGTGGTATATGCAGATGAAAGTCTGAGCACAGAGGAGGCTGTTCTGCTCAGCAAGCTTGCGGACAAGTACGACAAGGAGATGTGGTTACGCATCTGCTCCAAGTTCTTTGACAAGACCGGCAAGCGACTTGATCCAGACGAGGCCAGACGGCACATCCGTCCGTCGTAAGCCACCGTCACGGCCACGACTGCGGATACCAAGACGGCGCTATGCAGGTACCGTGTTTAGCGAGCCTTATTAGCTCCTCGATTCTACCCTGATCTCGTCGATATAAGTGTGTCCTGTCCAACGCTGCTGCCACCTCGACCTCTCTTATCTCAGACAGCGCCCTACCCCAGCATCCAATGGCCCCCTATCCTGTCCGTATAAACACATGTTCGCACCCTGGTCCACTCAGCCCACTCTCCCCCCCCTAAAAGTCCAGCTTTCAGGGGGCAAAAAGAAACCAAAAAAAGTCTGGGCCTGCGGATGTTTCATGACTAAGCAGCGCCCTTTTTCTCTGGTTCGACTCCGGGAATTTTTTTGACGAAGACAAGGACGAGGAAGATCCATTAAGTTCTTTCGCTGCCGTCGTCATATAAAACTCTGGAGTTTGCCTCTCGACCTTGCTTTTCCCTCTCCTCCCTCCAATTCCTGTCGTTACACTCGACACCGTTAGCAACAACCCCTCTTTCAACTCGACACCTGGATACACCACCAACATAGGACGATAAAGGATGCGTTTCTCGACTGCCCTCTCGCTGGCTCTGGCGGTCAGCCCGGCTGCCGTCTTCGCTGCCGGCAACTTGGGGTTCTCTCTAGGCGTGAAGAAGCCCGATGGTAAATGCAAGGACCGGGCCGACTTTGAGAAGGACTTTGACACCCTCAAGGCTCACGGCACCACTGTCAGGACATACGCGGCTGCTGACTGCGGCAGCGCTTCTCTCATCCTCCCAGCGGCTAAGTCAAAGGGCTTCAAGGTGGTTCTCGGTATCTGGTAAGTCTCCATGAAAAGGATGGCCGTTCTGCTCTGATAATGATGACGCTAACGGCTTCAGGCCTGATGTTGAGGAGTCATACAAAGCCGATGTAGAAGCCCTGAAGAAGGCTGTCCCAGGCAACGAAGATGTCGTTGCTGCCATCACCGTTGGCTCTGAGACGCTCTATCGCGGCAACTTCACTGGTCCAGAGCTACTCAAAAAGATTAACGAGGTCCAGAAGGTGTTCCCCAAACTCACGATCGGCACTGCAGACAGCTGGAACAAGTACGCCGACGGTACTGCTGATGCCCTGATCGAGGGTGGCGTCAAGTACTTGTACGTGTCTTCCCATTTTTCCGTCTGTGGTCTCTCATGCTTGAACCAAATGTTAACACCAAATGTAGGTTGGTCAACGCCTTTGCATTCTGGCAGGGCAAGGCCATCGAGCAGGCCCCCAAAACTCTCTTCGACGACTTGGTCGGGGCTGCTAAGCGTATTGCCGACAAAGCCCCCAAGGGCTCGAGTCCCTACGTTGCCATCGGTGAAACCGGCTGGCCTACTGGTTCGTCCATCCGTACCCTCCTCGACTATCGCATAATTATACCTTACTAACACCTATATTATCTAGACGGCGGTACCGACTACGGCGCGGCAAAGGCTGGCACCAAGAACGCCGAGAAATTCTACAAGGAGGGTGTCTGCGCCATGCTCGCCTGGGGTGTAGACGTCTTCTACTTCGAGGCCTTCGACGAGCCATGGAAGCCCAAGAGCATCGGCGACAACGGCAATGCCGCTGACGAGACCCACTGGGGCATGTACACTGCTGACCGCAAGGCCAAGTTTAACGCCGACTGCAAGGTCAATAAGAAGAAGGACTAGGCTTGGTCTCTCAACTAGTCTAATCGTTAATCCTTAATTGTTGTTGTTGTATATCTGCATAGCTTGGCCATGGACATACACCGGTTCTCTTACCTCACCTTCTCTTCGTCTCATATACTTCGTCTGCTCTATCTGCTTTCTAATTACCAACATGAGTGCAAATATCAATATCAACATCGTCTTCCCGACCTCTTTTCAAGTCTCTTTTCTCCCTTTAGCTATCGTCCTCCACGGCTTCAGCCCCCTTTTCGCGTCTTAGTAAGAAATAATCAACGTTAGTTAGTTAGCGTCGCGAACACCAAAAAAAAAAAAAAAAAAAAAAAAAAAGGAAAAAGAAAATAATAATAAGAATGATAATTTTGGCTTCTCGTTTTTGACATCGACAAAACCTCAACTTCTTAACGCTCAGCTTTTCTTCTTCTTCTTCTTCTTCTTCTTCTTCTCTTGTTTTCTTCTTTGCGTCTTCGTTTCCCGTCGCTTTCCTCATCGCGTTCGACATCCCTCTCCGTCGGACGATCCGGCCTCGAGAAGACCCGAAGACCAAAAAGCGGCCCTCGTTCGTGAGCCATGGTTCGTTCCCTGGGCTAAACCACGGTTCCGACAAACTACACCAAGCACAAGGGGGAAAAAGGGGGGTGAAGAGACGACGTGTTTACTTGTCTGTGCGGTTCTCGTTCGGTTTATATATATATTAATATACATATATATATTCTCGGGCGTCAGTTTCGACGGTTGCTGGCTGGCAGCGACAGCTCCTCTGTACTACTGCGACCCTGCTACGCTTCTACAGCCAACGGCAGCACCAGGGCCGTTGAGTTCTATGCGTCAAGATTCCGGCGGACATCGAACGCGGCGAGCTTGTGCTTGCTGCATCAGACAAGACGGACAGTAAGATATCTTGACTATTATTATTATTATTATTTTCCTGCGGCGTTGAAGCGACAGTTACTGTTCCTTTCTTCGACGCCGGCGTACAATGGCATTGGCTGCGTGTGACTGACGTGTGCATCACCTGTAGGCCCAACTCTCGCAGTCAATTCTCCCAATCCCGTTATCCTGCAGCCGTCCCTCCACCGCGAAGACGACGAGGGTGAAGTCGAGCGGGAACATACGCTGACACTGCCACTGCGCCGGTCCGTCACTCCAGGTGCGGTCTCGAGCATCGCGGCAGGCACCTCGCTTGCTGTCCCCTCCGCAGGAGGATATCGCGGCCCAACCTCGGACGCGCAGTCGTCGACCTTTTCGCCAGACAACAAGCGGACAGACGCCAGTGCCTACTATACGGCCGCCTGGGGGTCCCCCTACGCAACGCCCAGCTCACGGAGCGTCTCCTGGCAGCTGAGGAGCAGACAGGGCGATTTCGAGTCTGAACTTGACCTCGAGAATTCGCCCTTCTCCATCCGTACGACCGCTCGTGGTGAGGAGCAGCTGTTGCCGGACTCCGCTAGCCAGACCGGTATCGTACCCTTTCCTGAACTCACCTCGACCTTGTTCGAACGGGACCTGCAGCCTGAGAGCAGCGTCAGTCGGCACCGCGGGAAGTCCATCAAGGATTTCACGCAGGATTGGATCAATCAGTACCTGACGGGGAAGCCTCGCTCGGAACGGACGAATTGGTTGAGTGACGACTCAGGAGACAGCGACGTCGGTTCGTTTCTCACCGCATACCAGCAGCGTGTTGACGGTTCGGAAGGCTGGCTTGATCTTGACGACGACGACGACGACGACGACAACGCCAACAACAACAACTACTACAAGGAAGATCTTCTCAAGACGCCCACTGCGTCAAGCTTGCTCAAGGGGAAGAGACCAGAGTTTGGCTGGAAGTCCCGGCCTGCTCATCTCAGGGCAAAGCACGCTCCCAAGGCGAGCACGGCCACCCTGAAACAGTCCGACTTTTGGGATTTTGGCCAGGACCCTGAACCATCGTCCCGGTCCCAGTCTCGCTCTCAATCCCGGTCTCAATCTCAATCGAGATCTCATTCACCTGCCAGATCCCAATCCCAGTCTGAAGCCTGCGACCAGGACTGCGCTTCCGTCACCATGTCAAACCTCGAGCCACTCACCATACCGGAAGTGCGTCCGCCTCCACAACAACATACTTATGTCTCGCCCACAGATAAGCCTCTCCCTCTCCCTCCAACACCGGTGGAAGACGCACTAGATAAGCCTCTGCCTAGTGGGCCAAAAGAGACCATTCGTACCGCTCCAGCCTTCCTACGGCCCAAAAAGAAAGTCGCCTGGCGTGGAAAGCAATGCATCATCGCACTCCCTCTGGAGGATAGCCGTGGATCGGCCGAAGGGGGGAAACGACTTCTAACACCTGCCGACGTGGAGCAGATCTTGGATAGCTGGGAAGAAAAAGGATACGATGTTCGAGGAACTGGCCGCGGAGAACCGGTCACAGTCGATCTGCAGAATCGCCAGACCCATCCTGATCCTGCAGACACCCGCCGGGAACTCGAAGAAAAACAGTTCCATGTCAGTTTCCCAGATCAGTCCGTTTGGGAAGAGTATGTCGATTTCTTAAAAGAAGAGAAACTTCGTGCTCTCGGCGTCAGTCTGGGAGATCCAGAGCCCAACCCCATCATGTCTCCTACGCCGGGAGCCATGAGCCGCAACTCTTCTCAGATGCCAATGCTACCTGGACATACCATCTCTCCTCCCGTCCCTACCTCCTCTGCTGGCAGCAACCATCTGAACATGATGCAGAACCCTTTCTCTCCGGCTTTCAACCAATCCACGAAGGCAACTTCCAACATCAGTTCAATGAACTCGCCTGCATCACCCTTTGGATTCCATCCCGAATCTCCCTTTCAGCAATTCCAGCCGGTGTATGGGAATGAAACAAACTATCCATTCTTGCCATTCCAGCCTACTCCTCCGGCACACGGCACTCATACTCCACAGAATCTTTATGGTATAAGGCCAAATGGCATCACTCCCACCAACATAGGCAACATGCCCAACCTAGGTTCTCTGCTGCACTCTGTCTCACCCATACTCGATGAGTCGAAGCAGTACCCTGGCATGGCCAGTATGCTACCCCATTCACACTTTAACAACCCATATGGTGTTAGCACACCACAGGGCCGCATGAATGAATATGAAAACACCATGCATCACCAGCCCATGGATGAACCAAACGTTGAAATGGAAGGGGAAGCAGATACCACCCTTCAACCAACCCATTCTGGTCCTGAAATCGCCCATCCAACCCCTCGAGGCCACCGACACAATGTAAGTGAGACTCTGCAAAAGGGGGTTGAAAGGGACTACCAAATGGAGAATCCTGTACTCGAGGATGAGCCGAGAGTGGAGGATAACTTG